TGATACCTGATCCCTTCCATACCTTATGATCGCACAGGCTGGTGTGCTTCTTCCATGTGGGCTTTGTTGCTTCTGAGCTATCTTCCCTCCTTTTTAAAGTCTCTTTCTGGTTACTATTACTTCTCAACTGGCAATTGTACTTCCAACCCAAAACCGACAGCCATCAAGTCAACCCCAACTCATAGCAACCCGAAAGGACTGAGAAGAGCCTCTCTGGGTTTTTCGAAGCTGTAAATCTTTACAGGTATAGAAAGCTTCATCTGTCCCTTTTTGGTGGCTTCACACTACTGTCCGTGGTTTGCAGCCCAACTCACAACCCCCTACACCTTCAGGGCTCCTTCCTTCTATCACAGACTTAAAGAGGTCAGCAACACTGGAGTAACTTTGTCAGTATTTTTCCTTTACTATTTCCAATTTTTTTCCCTAGTGTTACCAGCTACTTCTACATAATTCCTTTCCTATATATTCTAAAACTCATAAGGATCTTTTACAGCCTTATCAATCATACTATAGATTAGAGATAAAGTAAGCAAAAGTCTAGGAAGCTATATGAAAGAAATTTACGGCTTAAAACCAAACACTGCTATGAGTCGATGGTGAACCAACCCTACAGGGCAGGGTAGAGTTTCTGAGATTGTCACTTTCTCTGGAGTTGAAAGCCCCATGCTTCTCCAGCTTAAAGCTTTAAATGTGGGTTTACTTTTAAAACACAGGTACTGCTTTTTAAAGAAGTGTGAGAAAATGATATTACCACTTTGCAAGAACTGATGCAAATGGTAGCTACATGTTGGTGGGAATGAACAAGAACTGTCCGTGGAAAATTCATATAAGAAACACAGAAATTTCCTCTACTAGCAATGATTCTTTTAAAAATCCTCCTTAATATACTTGCAGTATGTTATTTACTTTCTACCCTGCTTACTTACATTCCATGGCCAGGATATCAATTATTTTCTTGTAGTACTCTGAACACCCTTACCCATAGCCCTATAGTTTCACCTACTTTGTAGACATCAATCACCCTGCGACCCACCTTCTGTAATCAAAATTTAAAATACATATACAAAATTAAAACACACACAAGAAGAGTAATACTTCTACATTTTTAGGGTCATCACCCTCATCCAGGCCCTCAACACAGTTTAGCAATCCCATCATGCTTGTCTGGTCAACCTACTTCCTCAACTTCTGCAAAGACCAGTTTATTTGATGGGGTACTTCTCCCCCCCCAAAAACCCTGGAATTACACTGGATGGAGCAGAGCTTTCGTAGTAAGCATTTTTCCCTCCAGGCAAGCATCTAGCAACTCACTCTGTTAGTGCACCCAGTGGTGTTTCCTGGGAAGGTTCTCTCTGGTCACAGTGGATTTTTTCATAAAAGCAGTTTCTCTGCTTTTATGGGATGACTGAATTAATAGAACAGTGTGCGATTGTGAAATTTTGTTTCCTGCTCAGGAAAAAATGCTGCAGAAACTGCTATAATGTTGAACATAGCTTACAAGGACAGTCCTATGGGAAAAACTCAAGTGTACGTGTGGTTTTCTCATTTTAAAAAAGGTGAAATGTTGATTGATGACAAACCTCTTTCTGGACATCAGTCAACTTTCCGAACGGATGACTCATAGTGCATTTGGAGTTTGTTACACCAGGTCAGACTGTTAATCAAGCTTTCTATTTAGAGGTTCTGAAAAGACTGCGTAACAGGGTGCTACCAAAAAAAAGCCTGATTTGTGGCAGAGGGGGGGCTGGTTTTGACACCATGACAATGCACCTGCTCATGCAGTCATCTCAGTGTGCCTGTTTTTTTGGCAAAAAACATGCCTCTCTTGCCCCACGGACCTTACTCACCTGACTTCTTTTTGTTTCCACGAATGCAGAGGCACATGAAAGGACAGTGATTTGACAATGTAGAAGAGGTGAAGAATAAACTGAGGGAAGTGGGTGCTATCAGTCATCCAAACACGAGTTTGAAAAATGTTTCCAAGAATGGAATCGCAGGTTTGAAAATGTATTACGTGTAATGGAGAGTACTTTGAAGATGATAAGGTTGTTTTGTTAAAAAATTTAAATGCATAGCTTTGGGGAGAAAAAAAACCCTGTTTATTTGGGGGGCACCCCCTCATGTGTTAATCTTAATTTTCCTGAATCCTGCTTCCCAATTTCAGTTGATGAATTTATGTGCTTCACACAGAAAACAGGCATCAGACGAGAACTAAGTCAACTTCTTGTTACGATGCTTACAAGCTTACTCTCATCTGCATCCAGCCTTCCCTCTTTCCCACTTGACAAAAGCAAGAAACCTTCGACCCCCATGTAATGCAACCTATGTTCTGGATCCTCTCCCTGCTTGCCCCTCATTGCAACCTTCAGCTATGGATTGTTTCCCGTTTCCTTTGTTTCAGTCCCTTTCTTTCAACTGATGTCTTTTCTTTGGCATGCATTTATTGGGTAAGGAGATCGAAGTAAAATGTAATGGCTTTGTCACACCTTAACACAAATCTAGCCACTTCTGAAGCTCCTGCAGCAAATGCAACAAAAAGCAACCCAATCCCAAACCTGCAACTAACAAAAACAAAAACCTCATCAAAAGAACAGCTTTCATTACTGAGAATTTGTACAATGTTCCTGTCTGCAAAACTCTTATCCCCATCCCCATCCTTCATCTGGTTTAGATTCATTAATCCAGCTAGTCTGTAAACTCCCTAAGAGCATGGGTTTGCTTCATTCCTTGTTGCTATGAGGTGGAACCGACTTGATCGCAATGAGTTGAACATCCCTGGTGGTTTGAACTTCACAGATGCTTAAAAATATTTATTGAATAAACGATCTGGGTTTTTATTTAAATGTCACTTTTAATTTTATGATTTCTCATCTTTCTGATCTAACAAGTGTTCATGCATAAATATATATGCTTGTTCTCAAGATCCTGTTTCCCACTCTACTTGCTATATCTCAAGAGAAGTTCCTTAATTGATGTCTAAATGGGAACCAGATGAAGGAAATTGACTTATTCCTGCAGAATTCAATATCACCGATGCCATTTAAAAAGTTCTATAAGGCTTTGCTTTTAATTTCTTCGCATGCACTTACAACCTTTCAGGTAAAATCCTTTAAAAGATAATGTACTGAGTTCTAGTCCTAGGTTCCAGTGATGCCTTGGGGCCCTCCTCGGGAAAAGCAGGGTAGGTGCTGGAGCCCCAATTCCAAACCTATTCGCAGATGAAAAGCAAGAGCAGCTATCTGGGGAAGGAGCGTCAACCATTTGACCAAAGGATGACATATCAAACTCTGGTGGCGCTGTCGCGTAAGCACTAGTTTAACAGCAAGGTTAGTAGTTCAACCCACCAGCGGTTCTGCGGGAGAAAGTTGGGGCATGTACACCCTCTGAAATTCGCCAGAAGTCGGAATCAACTAGAAGGCAGTAGGTTAGCATGGGGTAAGGTCCTTCCTTCACAAGGGGCTTGGGGGCACGATGAGAGTTGTCATCAGGGAGCTGGATGGAGAGGTTCAAAATAGGGTTCCCAGGACCTGGTCTCCAGTCCGCGCGCCCAAGCTCGCAACACCCGGGGAGAAAGCACAGCCCTCGCTGAGAGGGGAAAGGCGGTCTCTGGGGCACGCAAGGGCTCGCACGTCCGAGCCTGGTCCGTGAGGCGGAGGGGAAGGAAGAGCCCCCGGTGCGAGCTCGCACCCCGCCCTGCGCGAGGGTCTCGAGCCTCCCGCGGTGGGTGGGAGTGGGGTCTCTCGTCACAACTCACCGCTCCGCCCAGCAGTCCCGTCCGTTCCCGGTAGCCCCAGCCGAACCGGTCCCGGCGCGCGGCGACGCCGCGGAGGGAAACAAAGGTTCCCGCAGAGGGTCGAGGGGGAACGTTTTGACTGTGCGGTCGCAGGAAGTGACGCACGCCCCCTTCCGGTCCGCTGGAGGCTGAATGACGGCTCCCGCCGGTCTGGCCCCGCAGCG